TTTCGGTACGTACAAGAATGTTCTAGGTTTTCTTTTTTAGTTTTCCGTAAAATGTAAAATAACCTTTATTTTCTCTGTAAACTGTAAAGATTCAATTTTCACTGTGACTGTAAATTTTTTTTCTTGTAAATTGTAAAAAGCCCTTTTTATTTCCCGTAAAACTGTACCAGCTACCCCCCTTATTCTGTCAGGTGTGTGTTGGGTTTGAAGCACCGCAGAGGGCGCAACTCATGCGACTCGTCAGGCTTGCACTTGTCCAATCAAGGAGTTTAGAACAAATTAGCTCTATAGTCAAATCCAATAGGTTTACAATGCATTATTTCCAAGTGCAATCCCCATAGACACGACTTTCTTTTTTTATAATGTCGTTACTATAGCGACCGTCGTAAATAAAGATCTTGAGTAAATATGGCATGTTGGGATTGGCTTCATACTATAAATTAGGAAATCAATACCTCTTCGATCACTTTCGTTATTTACTCGATTGAAACGCTCAGAACGTACTCTGTATAGAAATGCTATTGTTAGGATGTTGTCACTTTCAACGCGCTTACTAACCTTGCTTGAAAATTCAATTTAAACTTAGTTTTTTACAACATGGACACCATTGACTTCAACAGTTATCGCGGACGGCAGATGCCACGCTGCCATTATGAGAACTGCGACTCGGCGGACATAGTAGAGAACGAGTCTAAACTGCCGGGTGACGGAAGACGAACAGTCGGAATCGGTGATCAAAGACTGGATTCGGAATGCGGGATGCGAGTAAACAACAACAACAACGTGTTACCTCGTGGTGGTCGCGGTTATCTGGAGTCCATGGCGACGACACCGCCATCATACGAAGACGCTATAGAAGTCACAAACCAACCCGACAACAACGGTAGTCCCGAGAGAGTTGTTAAAATTAGAAAACCGGAATCGAATCCAATGTATTATTGCCTACCTACCTTAGCCATGCCCATGGCTATTTTTTGCTGCGTTGTCAATTTTGTTCTACCCGGCATAGGTACAGTACTGTTATATTAGTCGACGCCAAACAATATATGTGACATTTTTATAATTATATATTGTTTTGGTCTTGGACAAAGACATATCTTATATCTTTGATTTTCTATTCAGCAACCAACTTTTTTTAAGTAAATCACTGTTTTAGCACATTATGTTTAAAGCAAATACGTCAGATGCTCAGGAAAAAAGGAGTATTTTTCCAAAGAATATGTTCTGACTCGTTCTGTAATGCACGTACGTTTAACATTACATTTTCTTTGTAATTAGGAACAATCGTAGCCTCGTTCTCGGTGTTGACATGCTGCGCACGTCACGAATCTCTACCTGCCAGAATTGGTATTTTCATCTTGAATGCCGTATGTGGCGTCCTTCAGTTAGGACTGTCGCCATTCCTCATAGGATGGGTATGGAGTATCGTATGGGGGTGTGCATTTATCGGAATGGCAAGTAAGTATAGGGGTGTGCATTTATCGGAATGGCAAGTAAGTATAGGGGTGTGCATTCGTCGAAATGACACTAAATATTCACGTGCGGAGTGTTGTACTTAGAAAGGTAATTAGTACAGAAAGCAGATATAGGCAATAATAATTATGTTTTTAAACTGAATGATCATGTTAAATATATTAAATGGATGTATGAATGATTTCTGAATGGCTGAAGCAAATATGAGTGGGCGTGAACAATAGATATATTGTCACGTGACATATGAGGAATGACATCCACTTGTCATGATTGGTTAATTTTTTTTTTAAATAAGGATTCCCGAATATCGTAAATGTTAGATGCCATATTTATATTGACTAATCTGTCTTGAATTTATTTTCAGCGGAATATGTACCCCCAACATCCACATTGCAAGAACCAGTCAGTCATCAAGTTGTGCCCCCTCCTCCATCTTATAATCCACAGCAAAATGTGCCGTTTTATCCACAAGACCCACCACCGCCATATTACGGAGCAACACATGGACTCAGTCTGGAAGTTCACTCTCAAGACACGGAGTCGGAAGAAGTCCTAGAGTCGAGTGTTCCCCCGGTCGATATGACATAGTTTTTACAATGTTTAAGTAGCAACTTGTTCAGCCCCGGCACCTATACGCTGAAAGATTATGCATTTACATCAAACTTAATTGGTAACAGACTTCAATATGACAGAAGTTATATTTTAAAAACAATTCTCTCTGAATAGATTAACTTTATTGTGTCGTAAGTTTATTTCCGGTTTTCCACAGTCTCCTCTGTCACCAGGAACTATCTACGGTGGGGGGACTGTGGGTTTGTGTTATGCTCTGTTGTCAAACAAACGGAGTGATACGATATACCAAAAAATGGACACGTGGGCCTGACGCTCATCGGTTGCTTATAAAATTAGCAGCGGATTAGAAGTATAATATACAATACTTGCTCAAGTGTGTCAAGGCCAAGATGAATCTGTACGTGTTAAATTTTGTAACTGAAATTTCACAACAAATTGGTATTGTTTTAAGCATGCAATGTATAAGGAAGCAATGCCGTATGTGAGTGGTCACTGTATGAATTGTCTACTCCTTGGCACGATACATTGCCAAGTGCTGCCTATTGAAAATCAAAAAGAGAAATTGTCCAGTTTAAAAAAAAGGTTCATGAGAGGGCATTGCATATGCATAGGGATTGACTATAATAGTAATTGTTGAAAAAAAAAATGAGATGTTTTGTCATTTCTGACCCAATTTGCAGATTTATTAGTCAATCTACACCTCTTGGACAGAATACAATATTCAACAAATAATGAAATAAAAATTAGCAGTTTGAAAACAATTCTTGAAAATAGCATTTCTGCCAAAAAAATTCAACATAATGGCATCTAAAAATACACAATTACAAATAACTCCACCATATGACAAAATTACAAATAACTCCACCATATGACAAAATTACAAATAACTCCACCATATGACAAAATTACAAATAACTCTACCATATGACAAAATTACAAATAACTCTACCATATGACAAAATTACAAATAACTCCACCATATGACAAAATTACAAATAACTCCACCATATGACAAAATTACAAATAACTCTACCATATGACAAAATTACAAATAACTCTACCATATGACAAAATTACAAATAACTCTACCATATGACAAAATTACAAATAACTCTACCATATGACAAAATTACAAATAACTCCACCATATGACAAAATTACAAATAACTCCACCATATGACAAAATTACAAATAACTCTACCATATGACAAAATTACAAATAACTCTACCATATGACAAAATTACAAATAACTCCACCATATGACAAAATTACAAATAACTCTACCATATGACAAAATTACAAATAACTCTACCATATGACAAAATTACAAATAACTCCACCATATGACAAAATTACAAATAACTCTACCATATGACAAAATTACAAATAACTCTACCATATGACAAAATTACAAATAACTCTACCATATGACAAAATTACAAATAACTCTACCATATGACAAAATTACAAATAACTCTACCATATGACAAAATTACAAATAACTCCACCATATGACAAAATTACAAATAACTCTACCATATGACAAAATTACAAAGAGGGTTACATCAAGTAAATTTATGGTTGAAATGAAAGTGACAGTTGGAGAGAAATTTCTCAAAAATTATGATTTGAAAAAAAAATAAAAAAAATCACTGAACAAAATTGAAGATAATGCTACCACTTCAACAGGCTAAACAGAGGACCGAACTGCGTACTTATATGCTAAATATGAAGTCAATCAGACTGATGTTTTTTTGAGAAATTGACAAAAATTCAATGTTTACCTTTTTCGACCCAATTCGCAGAATTATAGGCTGATTTATGGACAAATTCCGATGTCAACCCTATGGGGTACCTTCACAACAAAATTCTGTATTGAATTCTGTAAGTCCTATGTATTACTACCTATGGAGAGTGAAAAACTAAAAACAAAATAATAAAAAAAAATCATAAATTGCACAAAATTGAAGATATTAATACGAAAGAACAACCTTGAGAGAGGTCGCCCCAGATCCCTACATACTAAATATGAAAGCAATTTAACTGACGGTTTTGGAGAAGTCGAAAATAACAATTTTGGCTAAAAATAATAATAAACAATTTCACTCAAAATACAAATTTGAAAATAATACTACTACACCAACAGGCCACACAGAGAATCAATCAATCAGACTGACATTTTTTGAGAAATTGGTGAAAATATAATTTTTTTGATTTTTTCACCCAATTTCCAGATTTGTTGATGGATCCACTTCTCTTGAACAAGTTACCATATTCAACCAATCAGGAATCGTCATACCATACCATGGTTTTGGATAAAAAAGAGTCACGCGACCGAACAACGCTAAAATCCAAAAACAATGTGACGATTTTAAACACAAATTGGTGACATGTGTAAAACTTTAACTGCAGTGAAAATTGGTTTCTCAAACATATTATGGTGATATCTTGTCAAATTTAATACAAATCTAATAAAACATAGAATAGGCAATGTTACACCTGTAGTGATCATATGTGTATTAGTGGTATCTGAGGTATATATTAGTAGTATCTGAGGTGTATATTAGTAGTATCTGAGGTGTATATTAGTAGTATCTGAGGTATATATTAGTAGTATCTGAGGTGTATATTAGTAGTATCTGAGGTATATATTAGTAGTATCTGAGGTATATATTAGTAGTATCTGAGGTATTTATTAGAAGTACCCGAGGTATATATTAGTAGTATTTAATAGAGATAGTAATAGAGATATGTTAGTATTTATTGCTTCTTGTGTATTATAGATGAGTCTCTTTAAAGAATAAAATTAAAGTAAACACCGATTGGTATAATCAATCCCGAAGACTCACGTGACGGACCTCCATTGATAATAGAGATCACGTGATATGGGCATGTCGTCATATGCCATGTCCTAGTCACAGGTCAAATTGTATCGCTTCACAGAAATCAAAATCTGAGATATATACTTGATAACAACTGAAGCCAGTTCCGAGGTAGGTGGTAGTATTTTACAGTACAGTAAGTAGAGTTACCACTATTTACGATTGCTGCACTGAGACATGATATTATACGAGAAACAACAAATAGAAAAACTATATCTCATTTATGATAAATCTGATACCATGGTAATGCCACCCAATGTGTGAATCGTTATTTAATATATATACATTTACACACACACACACATACATATACACATGTGACAGAACGATTTTCAGTGAAATTTCAAAGTACTACCAGAACCAGATTCCCGGGACAACAGTCGCTCATCATCATGTTCACAACAATGTCATCCCAATGATAGTTACAAATTCATGTTGACTGTTTTATTTGGGAAAGAGTGTAAAAAAATACCGACCTTCCACATCCATTTTTGAATAACAACACTCGATATGAAAACGCCTGTTTTAAACCCAAATAGCCTGAGCACATCGCAACTCACGATAATGCGTTCAATACCCGGTAAATTTGCACTTTTGTGTATTTATATACGGTAGAATTTAGAAAATCCTTTTGCTCTTTCTGTGAACTAAACACGTCATTTCATCATTCAGGCCAGTGTAGCACAGTAAGATAGATATGTATTTCCTTCCAAGTAACGTCGGTACTATTTAGTGAATATATTTCACAATGCCGCTAAACCATAAAGCCCATATTTTGACGAAATTAAAATACGCGGCCATCATTTCAATACGGGTTTTCTATTTATTTTACTTATACTCAGCTCACTATAAATAATTAAATGTCGTACGCGTGCATCGTACACAATATACAAACGTTATCGCTGATGCTAATTCATGGTTCAAGTGTATTAGCCTGAGGTACACCATTGCATGCCGTATTGCCACGAACAGTTTGGATAAACAAGTGATTGGCACTCATTTCGGAAACAGTTGTAGCCGCTTAAAACATGCCTTCTCGTCAACTTTTAGGGCAGAATTACACCTACGTGTTGTTAGTAAACTATCGTCAAAAAAATAATCTACATACATGTATATTCATGGTTGTATACAATAAAATACGTCATTCATTCTTGCTGTCGTAACGAGCGATTTCGCTTAGTACTCCGGTCAGATGCATCCCCATGGATTGCGATTCGCATAAAGATCCGGTCACCACCCTACCCCGTTATACACCCAGAGCTACGGATAAAATGGAAATGACCGCCAAGATATCGTTGGCTCGAAAGATGGCTCATGGGACTCACATGCGTCCCCACAAATATCTCTTGCATGGATCTAAGCTCATACATGTTAGTTACTCTTGATTTTTATGTCAACTTGAGCAGACGCATTGAACTACCAATGACGGATACGATTGCGTAAAATTGATTTTGTTATTTGAGTTATATTTTTTGAAGATTCAAGTCGCTAGTATGCCAACGCGTTTAATGAAGGGTGCCACCACGCGGCCAGGCAATTACAGTCACTTCAATCATGGAAAGTTCCACACTCGTTACAGACCCAAAACCACATTTTGAATTGATTGGGAGTGGTTTCTACAATAAGGGCGAGGTCATTCTTGTAACTCGAAGTTTTCGTAACTGGATGCTTGTAACTCGATGTGCGTCACGGTAACTCGAACAATTCAGCATCTCTTCAGAACTCGATTGAACGTTATTTTTCTAATTTGATATTGATTGTATTTGAGATACCAACAGGTTTCCCCAATTACAGGCACTCATAAAATACAAATACAAAAATATTTACAAAAATAATATAAAACAAAAAGAAAGACTCAAAGCTCAACTTATGGCATTAAAAACAGATGTCTTAAAAGAAGACAGACTCGTAAAAATGTCTACTGAACCAGCAATATAAATACAATTTAAAAAGTCGAGGGATAAAAGAATATTTTCTGAGATTACTATGACAAAGAGGTAGTTTGAAGGGATATACGGAGCGGAGATTTCTGTAGGGAGCATGAAAAGGAATGTTGTAAATAGTGTAGGGAGAATCAAAAATATTATTAAGACATTTATACAAAAAGACGGAGTCAAGGAAATTTCTACGAATCTCAAGCGACAATAAATTAAAACAATGGCATAATTCATAATACTGTGATGATCCAAATAGGCGAATCCAAATTTACCAGGGAATGTTTTTATCTATTACCAGTAGTAGCACTCAAAATGAGTACTTTGCTTAGTTTTGTCTGCTAGCGTGGATTCAACTGAACAAAAATTATTACAAAATGCCGCGAATGCAACTCAAGCACGAAACTCGAAGCTTTATTAACAATATCCCATCAACTTGATTTGAAGAGAATTTAAAGTGCGATGTTTTTATATTGTGACTTTTAAATTGTGAATGTTTATAATGTTAATGTGATTTATTTATACGTTTTATTCATCTCACTTTTCGTTACAGGATGTATCCCAGACAACATGGTGGTCCATTGACAGTATCATCACGTCCACCATCCCCACCTCCATTGTCCGGTCGCTTCGCAACACGAACAATTGGGTCACTAGGGATAGAGACGAGCGTGCAAGATAAAAAATACGCGAAATATGCCAAATTTGTTGATGTGTTACCAGTAATGCACCAGTGTTGGGCCTGGACATGTTTCATCCTAAACACAATCGTACCCGGCATAGGTAAGAATACACAAATTTATCCGATTCTATGTTGAAATGTACTAAGCGTTAACAGGTGTTTTTTTTTTTCTTTCACCGCGAAGTTCGTGAATTGCGTGAATGGCTCGGAACGAACGACTGCTGAACAAATCAAATTTGTTTGTTTCGCTGTAACCCGGCTTTTGCCATTTTTACATTTATATAATATTTTATTTTATTGAAAAAAACACCAAAAATCAAAACAAAAAAGAAACGGTATGCAGGTTCAAACTCAAAATGCCAATCTTTCATTGTTGAATCCCATGCAATGTTTTTTTGGAAACAAACCAGCTTGATAACAATTTAGGATTCTGACTAAGAATTAGCCAGCCAATGAGATTGATTTAATTTCAATCAATTGGTAAGCTTGACATAATGACCAATCAATTGTCATGCGATTTATGACCAACTTTCTCAAACAGTACGAGTAGGCTTCTACCTTAACGCAGGATCTCACAGTGAACGGAAAATGGTACATTACAGTGGTACAACAATGTTTTTGTTTTTTTTGTTTGTCCATGTACCAGGATCAATATTGGCAGCTTTTATCGTGCTAACATGCTGTGCAAAACACGACGGCATTGGCGATAGATGTCGTGTTAGTTGTATACAGTTCTGGTCTGCTATTGGTATGCTTGTTACATCCCCACTCATTATTGGATTTATATGGTCTGCTTGGTGGGGCTGGATGTATATACCTATTTCATTATGTAAGTATTATTGATTGATTTTCTTTCGATATCGAATTCATACTACCCTCTGTGTTCATATCGAAATTCTCTTGTTTGTTTTTCATTAGTGTGTTCTGTACTTATGAGGCTTGTTTACTATTTCGAGCTCATTATGTTGAAATAAGTAGTTGCTACTTTGTATTATAACTCGGCAACATATTTTGTCTATCGGCCTGTATATATCTAAATCTCTGGACATATAATTATTAATTGAGTGAACAATTTGCACCACTTATTATTGGCACGGGCGAATTGGTTTTGGAAACCACGGCTATAGTAAACAATAAACGGTTTACTTGGCAACATACGAACGCATGATTTAATCAATGGATGTGTTCCTGGTAAGAGTTGAAATTATTGCTAATGTTTGAAATTGGCAGCATTTCAACAGTTATATATTTATTTTCCCCGCCTGAAATTCTCCGAGTATGACCAGGTTTGTTTGGAAATGGGATACAAATGCCTACGTTTTGAGCGAATCTGCCGTTAAAAGCATCTTTTTACTAGTAAAAAATGGATTGAAATAATTATCTGTTTCCCTGTTCAATCACAGTGTTTTTGTTTTTTGTTTTTTCTGTAACCCCCCCCCCCCATTACCATTATCCATTTAAGGATAAATGTACACGCGTTATCACAATGATACAACTCCATACAATAGTCCTGGGTTACACACACACTTGGTGGTTTAGTCCACGCAAAGAATGATGGGTAACCGAGGCTATATATTAATCAGATCGGAACAACTTCGCCATGATCTTTTCCTCATTTTCAACGTACACTGAAATCAATCGTTTTCATTTTCAGTGAAGTATCATGGAACATTGAAAGATGAACCCGTTGAAGGAGACACACGCGTAACTGTAGTTGTGACGGAGGTGATATAGTGATGAACCCGGCCATTTTAATTATTCTTTTTTACGGGATCACTACTTCATGCTGTTATCAAGCTAGAGATCCCAAATTCACGTAGTTATGTATATGTCTATAATAATATTCCTCCTCTTGGCCAGCACACATTGGTATTGCTCTAATCACTCTTATTTAAATCATGTTATATCAAAATAGTGTTTTTAGTGTAATAGTTTGTCTTACTCAGGCTGAGACATACATCCAAGAAGAGACTATGATACCGTGTGAAAGATGTTTACATCAGGAGATTACATCGTGCTCACACGCGTCACACGACACTATAAACCACTGATTTGTCATCGAACAGGTAAAATACAGCGGAGCAAGAACAGTTGGACTCACTGTCAATCTCAATCCGTCTCGTTATATCTTGTTCAAATGATCGATCCGTTATCCTTTAATAGTTTCTCCAAGTTATACAAATGTTCTCCAAGTTACACAAATTGATCTACCTTTACTATACAGCTCTAATTTAGTATTCTGGGTTATTTTTATTTTGCTTATTACTATAGCTTTTGTGTTATAATAATAAACATTATACATGCTGTCTATATATTGTGTTATATCATCTGTGTTATACGAGGGGCGTTCAATAAGTAATGCCCTGGCCCATTTTCCATAGCAGGAAATTAATGAAACTTGGCACAGTTATTAGTCTTTTTCTACATAGATACCACCCAGAGTTATGCATTTCTCCCATCGTTTGATGCAGCTCTGGACACCGTTTTTGTAAAACACTCCAGGTTGGTCCTCCAACCACGTCGTAACTTCAGAAATCAAGACTGCATCATCTGGGACACGCTTTCCTTTCAAAAACAACGTCATGGCTGGAAGAGATGAAAGTTAGAGGGTGCAAGGTCAGGAGAGTAAGGGGTGGGGGAGGACTTCATAGCCACACGCCCGTGCTTCTGATCTGGCGACATGCGAGTTGTGGACCGGAGCGTTGTCCTGCAGGAGGATATATTTGCTGATCTTGCCCCGCCTCTTGATATTGATAGTTTCTCTTAATTTCATCAAAAGTGAATCGTAATAGGCTCCTGTAATTGTGGTACCCTTTGCCAGGAAATCTGTCATTACTACTCCGTCCTGGTCCCAGAAGACTGTGAGCATGACCTGCATGGCCAGCGGAGGGCTGCACCTTTGCCTTCTTTGGAGTTGGTGAGTCCAAGTGCTTCCACTGCATTGACTGGGTTTTGGTCTCTGGGTCATAGTGATGGAATCAAGTTTTATCCTGTGTAATCAGTCTTTTGAAAAACTTTGGCACATCTCCAAATTCATCCTCGAGCACTTGACGCGTTCTTGCTTTCTGAAAAGGTGTGAGCAACCTGGGAATCCATCTGGCAGACACATTGTGCATATGCAAATGATCGTGAATGATAGTTTTCACAGTCCCTGTACCCTGCTATTTGGCAAACTGTAATGCGTCGATCTTCCAAAATGGCTGCCTCAACTTGATGGACAGATGCCTCATCAATGGCAGAAGAGGGACGACCAGGTCTGGGAGCTGTTTCCACAGACTTCCAGCCATGTTTGAATTCACGATGCCAGCGTTTTACAAGGTCATATGATAGGGCATCATCACCATAAGTTTCTTTCATTTCATCAAAAGTGTTCTTTGGTGTGCGTCCTTTCAAATACAAAAACCGGATCACTGCGCGACACTCAACTGGCTCCATTTCACACCTGACCCAGTTCAAACACCTGTAAATCAGAAACCACAATTAGTTCAGAGCTGTTTTTGCAACATAACCAATAGAGATGTAAATCATTACGCATACAAAATTTCATCTAGATCAGACAACAGGAAGTGGGTCAGGGGCATTACTTATTGCACGCCCCTCGTAGCATCGTGGACAAGTGAAATTAATGCCAGGAAAAATAAAATAAGAAACTACAGTAAATTGAAAAAAAAAGTTAAAAAGAGCAACACTTAACACAAATTCTAGACCCAAATTATAGAAAATATATATAAAATTTAGAGTTAATGATCACAGTCTACTCATAGAAAAAGACCGGCATACAATTTCGAAGACCAAAACCAAATGTTGATGAAATGTGAAACTGATAAAATGGCGAATGAATTTCCTGATTGGCTGTTACTAGTAATTGTTTTTTGTAAATATTGCATGGTATAAATCACAACTACTAGTATCACAATTAAAGGTTTTTATGACGTCATAGCTTCACATAATCACACGATAATGTAGACCTCAAGTAAATTCAATTCAACAAAAAGCCCCCAAATTTAACTAAATTTGTTTAATGCTGATGGCGCTGATTTATAAAAAAAAAAATGAATTCCTCACCCACACATTATATTGCTATTTCTTATTCAATATAGTGATGCCGGGGATTGAATTTGCCGTAATATCACAACAGCACTGTATGTAGTAATGTATTTAATTTCTGGCTGCAATGATAATAATATCATATTTTAGCGAAGAATTTATTATTCATCTCAAGTATTATATTGACCCACGGTTCCCCTATAGAGGAATCACTATGGGGTACCCAATCACTTTTGTCTACTGCCCTGGTTTGCTGGAGAAGAAAACGAAACTTTGATATTATAAATACATGCCGAGTGTTATAATTAGCTATGAATTTAGAGAATGGGAAATCAGTATACGCTGAGATACCATAGTATGCATGATTTTCCACAATACAATCATTAGATCGTCTAACGGGCTTCCATTAAAATGAAAAATGATTATTCTCACATGAGGCATACACTGATTTCCATTCAGATTTAAAGATTATTATTTGTGACTAACAACTAAATGTGACTAACAAATATCTTTCAGAGCATTGTGTTACAAAACGAAAATTGACATTCATTTTAGCATAATGTATAATATGCACAAAGAGAAGTTGCCAATGTTTAAAAAGCGACAGTCGTCGTGCCGCGCTTTGTTCAATATGGGACGCATAGCGACGTATACAATGCGTGTAAAATACATTGTTTATTAGTACATGAAATTCGAACACGCGCTGTACGACGACCACCGCGCTTTAATTTAAAGGGATGGTCGTCGAGTCGCGCATGTGCGACCATTGGGTTAATAAACATTGATCTTCTCTCAATCCAATGCGGTACTTTGAAATCGCGAGTAGAAGTTTTGACCTGCGCGCCCCTTGCACTAATTACCGACGGCGACTTCTTCGTCCTTTTCCAATCATCAAAAAATATCTTATTGAAGCTTGGTATAACATTTCACTTTTTACTTGTTGATCTGCGGAACAGCCGAAGTCACGGTCAAAGTCGCCATCTTTGTTTATAAGAGAGTAGAGACCCATACTTCGTGCATACGTGGCGCGACTACTCCGAACATGGAATTTGAGATCTATGAATGAATATTCTGATGACAATAACTTGTATATGCTGCAGTTATGTTGTCCATTTTACCATTCAGTTCTTTGCCCATTTTGCGAAGTTCTGCCATTATTTCAGTATTGCCGTCAGCCTTAGCTGTGTCCTTTGGGCCTGGGTTGGATTCCACATTGCCAATGCACAGCAGCATAAGAATAAGTCGTACACTGGCACTCATCACCAGACTGATTCCATTGTCATGTAAATGTATAGGTGTCACTGATGGACACCTCACCTTGGCGGCAGTTGGCTGTGTAAAACAACCAATTCTTGCTCTGTACGCAGCGATGGTTATTTCCATACTGCTGGTATTTTCACTGCAAATCAAGTATGTATTCACAGTACTTACAGTTAATCTTCACGCGAGATTGTATCTAGTGGAGCAGCAAAAATTGGAGAAATTTGGGAGACGATTTACACTTACGTGCGTTCGTAAACGCCCTCAACGATCCATAATTTAAATATTTTGTATTTACTCACGTGGTATTTACTGTTTTGGGCCGATGGCCATGTATCAGTTAATAAAGATCCTACTGTTTATGCTGCGAAATGCCCTAAATATCGGGTATAAAAACGGGCTGTGAAGTAGCTTTGCTTGGCGTCATTTCGCCTCTAGAGGGCTAGTCGATTACGTCCTCACTGAACATTGATATTTGAACTCATTCATTCTCGTACTAGTAAAATTGCTACAATAAAAGACCTTGTTTACTGGCGATTTTAAAAGTTAAACATGATGAGGTTTGTGCGTATGGATGCCATAACGATTCGTGCTAATTTTAGAATAAAATAAAGCTAGCGATTGGTAAGAATGATTATTAATATACTAGTATAACCCGATTCTCTTCGTTTTTTTAATTTTCATTTCAAGGTAAAAAAAAGGGGGGGGATAGTTGAAATTGAATGTTTCACCGGTACAACTGTACTTACTTCATAGTTGTGCGATGAAAAGTAAAAAAAATATATATAATAAATAGTATTTGTTTAATTATTTGGGTATTCATCCCTCAAATTACTGAATATGATCCTCATGAATTTCGGTCGTGTCTCGGCTGGTTGTCACGGTGTGGAATGACGGACGTCAGCACTGACGCCGTCCTAAACCACGGTTACTAGTAACCGTGCCTATATTCAGAATGAAGAAGCAATGATCGACATTTCAAACAAACTATTACCGGGACACGGTCGATAGGCATTTTAAACAATCGAAATTATTATCGAAAGACGAGATATTTACAAATATACTGCAATTGTATATAGGCTTTGGAATATTTTCCGTCTTTCACCCAGTTCATTGAGCTCTTTATTCAATATCACGACTTTCCATGTTTTCTTCTTCAGGAAAACAACAATAATTATACAAATCGTGAACACGTCGCGAATCAGACAATCATACCGTACTTGTGTTGGTACATTTCCGTGGCAGTAAGTCACGTTAGAATTTTATATAATTATAGATAGTTAAAAACTAAAAAAATATTTGGATTTTAGAAGGCTATTCAACGTCTATGGAAACCAGAATAGAACGGGTACGTGTATACAATTGCGATATGGCAGGAGACATCAAGTTCATTAGTGACGTCATTAACGAACGCCCCCTGTAGGCGAAATGACACCATGCAAAGTAGTTTATATCGCCATTCATAGGTCTCAAGTTTCTTGTCCGGAGCACAGTCCCTCTGTAGAGGGACTGTGTACGGAGTAACAAAATCCAGACCTCTGCTCCCGATTTGCT